AGTAAAACAATCAATATGATGAGTTTCTTAAAGACCCAACTTTAAGAAAAATTTATTCTGACCGACCTTATCTGTTAATTAGTAGGTTTAGACCATTTATAGATGTTTACAGTGATTAGTGGTAACTGGCTTTTGTTTGTTACACTTGTTTGTTTCTTTTTTTGTTTTTTACTTTCCCATCTTTTTCTGCCTTTTTTTTTTTTTTTTTGTACTGGGAATTGAACTCAGGACCTTGTACTTATGAAGCAGGCGGTGGCACCACTGAGCTAAATCCTCAACCCCTTTTTCTGGCTTCTTTCTGACTTTGGTGGGGAGGGTGGTAATGGGAGTTGAACCCATGACCTTTTACACTGAGCTACATCCCCAGCCCCTTTTTAATTTTATTTTTTTGAGACATGGTCTCACCAAGTCACTGAGTTACATAGACTGGGCTCGAACCTATTGTCTTGTCTCCCAAACTGGGCAGTATTACAGTATCTCTTCTCTTAGTTTGTTAATTGTACTTCTTGTAAAACCATTTTTAGTGATTGCCCTACAGTTTGCAGTATTCATTTTCAATGAATGTAAGTCCACTTACGGTAACGCTACACTGCTTCATAAGTACCCTATGACCCATTTCCTCCCTCCCACTTTTAAGACTATCATTCAGTTCACTTGTCCAAGTGCTATGTTTACCTTTTGCATTGTTACTGTTATTGAGTAATTATTAGATTCATTAAGAATAAAAAACGAGGTATTTTCATATTCTGTTTGTTTTGTGTTCAGTACTCTGTGTATATGAGTTTCTAACCCACATCATTTGCCTTTTCTCTAAAGAGCTGCTTTTAATATATCTTGTAGAACAGGTGTACTGTTAAAAATTCTCTTAGTTTTTGTTTACTTTTGAAGGACAGTTTTACCTATCTTCAAGCTCACTGATTATTTCCTTGGCTATCTCCAATGCCAATGAGCCCATCAAAGGCATTCCTCATTTCAGGTATAGTATTTTGATTACTGGGTAATTGCTTATATTTAGTGGAGTTATTTTTCTTTTTGGTCATCATATCCTTTTCAAATAGATGATTTTCAAATGGTTTTTACCATTCAGTGAGTTGTCTTACTACTTTCTTGATACTGTCCATTGAACCACAAAAGGTTTTACTTTTGATGAAGAAGAGTTTATTTTTTACTTTGGGTTGCTCACACTTTAGTGTCGTAACTAAGACTTGATTGCCTAATTTAAGACAATGAGAGTTACACCTATGTTTTCTTGTAAGTATTTGATAGTTTTAGCTCTGATGTTCAGATCTTTGATTCATTTTGAGTTAATTTTTGTATATGGTGTGAGGAAGGAGTCTTTTATTTTGCTTATGTTTTTCTGGTTGTCCTAGCCTGGCAACATTTGTTGGAAGACTTCTGTCATTGAACAGTCTTTGCACTCTTGTCAAAAATCAATTGACCGTAAATATAAGGATATATTTTGAGAATCTTCATGATATTATGTTAGTGGCCCAAACTGTGCATTCTTCATTATTTTAGCCTTGTAGTGAATTTACAAATCAGGAAGCATGAGTCTTTCAGCTTCAAGATAGTTTTGCCTAGTTTAGGTCCTTTGCATTTCTATATGAATTTGAGGATTAGCTTGTCAATTTCTGTAATTAGGTCAGCTGGAATTATAATAGGAATTGAATCACTACAGGAGGTACTGCTCTTTTGAGTAATAATAAGAATCATTGTATCTGGGTGTGATGGTGCATGCTTGTAATCTACTCAGGAGGCTGAGAAAGGAGAATTATGAGTTCAGTCCAACCTGGGCAACATAGTGAGACCCTATCTTAAAAAAATTTTTGACAAAAAAGGTATTGCCATTTTAGTAATATTAAGGCTTTCCATCCATGAGCATGGAATAGCTTTCCACTATCTAGACCTCATTTAATTTAACAATATTTTGTTTCTTTTTATAAATCCTGTATTCCTTTTGCTTCACTTATTTATAAATATTCTCTATAATGCTATTACAAATGGGATTGATATACTAGATTATATTTTGTGCAGATGGAGAGTTTTATTCTTTTCTAATCTGGACGCCTTTTTGTTTCTTTTCTAATTGTTTAAATTCAAATTTCTAGTCAAATAAAAGTGAAAGTGGACATTTTAGATTTTTTTCCTGCTCTTAGCAGAGAAGCATTTAGTCTTTCCCTATTATTATGCCAGTTTTTTTTTTTTATTGTCCCTCCCCTTTTTTTTGTACCAGGGATTGAACTGAGGATTTTGTGCTTGTGAGGTAGGCTGCAGCACCACTGAGCTAATAATAGGTTGAAGAACTTCCTTTGTATTCCTAGTTTGTCCTAGTTTAATTGCAATGATGTATTTGATTTTTGTCTTTTTTCCTTTTGTATCTGTTGATAATATCATGAGGGCTTTGTTCTATAATCTGTTTATATGCCATATTACATTTATGTATGTATGTTTTACGAAGGATTGAACACAGGACCTCATGCTTGCTAAGCAAGTGCTTCACCACTGAATTATATCCCCAGTTGTTATTCATATGTTGAATTATCTTTGCCTTCTTGGTATAAATCTTGTTTGGCCATGGTGTTTCTATATGATGCCAGATTTGGTTTGGTAATACTTTGCTAGAGTGTTTTTGCATCTATATTAAAAAGAGATATTCATCTGTAGTTTTCTTGTGATGTGTTTGTGTGGATTTGTTACAAAGGTAATAAGGCCTCACAGAATGAGTTGGGAATATTTTCTCCTATTTTATGGAAAAGCCTAAAGTGTTGGTGTTAATTGTTTAAACATTTGGTAGAATATGTCAGAGAAGCTATCTGTCTGTACCTGGGCTTTCTTTTGTGATGTTTTGTTTGTTTTAATCACTGATTCAATCTGTTTTTGGTACAAGTCTATTCAGATATTTTGTTTCTTCTTGAGTCAGTTTCACAGGTTGTGTTTTCTAGTAATTCATCCATTTCATTTAGTTTATCTGTTAACATGTGATTATAGTATTTTATTATAATCTTTTAAATTTTTTATGATATTGATAGTAATATTGTCTTTTATTCCTGAATTTAATAATTTGTGCTAGAAGTTGATCAATGTAGTTAAAGGTTTGTCAGTTTTGATCTTTTCATAACACCTTGAAACTTTTGGTTTCATTTATTTTTCTGATCTTTATTTCTGCTACAGTCTTTTATTTTCATTCTTGTTCTTGATTGTGTTTAATGTCCTTTTTTCCTATCTTCTTAGGTTGGATCTTTATTTACTTGTGATCTCTCTTCTATTTTTAATATTGTTTAAAGCTATAAATTTTTCTGAATGCACTGCTTTTCCCACAACTATATTTGCTTGCTTTCTTTATCTTTCAAGGAAGGAAAGGAAAGATGTATTTCTTTTTGTTTTTGTTTTGTTTTGGTTTTTTTTGTTTTTGAGACAGGGTCTCACTATGTAGTTCAGACTGCTCTGGAACTCGCTGTGTAGCCCAGGCTGTTCTTGAACTTACAGCAGTCCTCTTTTCTCAGCCTCCCGAGTGCTGGGATTACAGGTGTACGCCACCACACCTGGCTGCAAAGATGTATTTCTATTGTTTTTGATCTTGCATTGATTTGAGCTTGCTTGACCCATATGAAATTGCTGTTATTCAATTTTTTTTTTAAGAGTAGGAAAAATTTATTGAGGGAAGAAAAAGCTTCTGTCTAAGAGAGACAGAAGGGGGACTGGAAAATGGGTTGCCCCATTCAATCATTTTGATGTGAAAAGTTAGTACTTTCCTACATTTCACTCTAATCTGATTGTTCTCATGAACATCTCATTGCTTCATGTTATCCTTATATTATCTTTATTTTTATAATCTAAGAAAATAAGCCTAAGAACAATGGGACTTGACTATTAACATAAGAGTGATATGTGTCAGGATAGAACCAAAACATTTTTTAGTTTTAGCTTTTTAAGACAGTCCCACTGTGTAGTTCAGGCTGATCTTGAACTCACTTTGTAGTTCAGGATAGCCTCAGACTCATAGCAATCCTCCTGCCTCAGCCTCCTGAGTGCTGAGATTACAGGTTGCACCATTGTGTCCAGCAAAAAACATTGATGATCCAGTGCCCTGTACCATCGCTTATAAGAAGGTTTTGATCTAGTTGAGGGACAGGTGTGTGGAACTAATTTACATCTTGTCCCTGATAATGAATGTTACACCCCAAAAGTGATAGCGAAAATTGTCATAATTTACTAATGTGTTTGTTGATGTATTGCTGTTGCTCATGCTTTCAAATGTTTACTGAGTCTCTGCTGTGTGCCAGGCACTCTGAGATTGAACAATATAGGGGCTGGGGTGGGGGAGCACAGTTTAGTACACTTTTAAGTAATTGTAATCTAATGGGGGGAAAGGCTTAAATGGATTGTTAATTACAACACAACAGGATAAATTATTCAATAGATTAAGCCCCAGAGAAAGGATCAGATCATCTCATACAAACAAGAATAGGGAAAGCCACTCATAGATTTCTAGCTTTTTAGATAGAAAAGACAGGGAAGGAGCATTTTAGGCAGGTGAAGAACATGAACTGAGAGGCACAGAGAGAGAACATGTGTGTGTGGATCTTAGAATGTGCATTAGCAAAGAGATGAGACTGGAAAGCAGGGGTAGATTATGAAGGGTGTTGTATCAAGAGGTAAAAAGTTGGAGGAGGTTTTTTCTCAGGCTGTACAGGAGTATTTGAATTTTTTTTTTTTTTTTTGGAGACAGGGTCTCACTATGTAGTTCAGACTGGCTTTGAACTCACTGTATAGCTCAGGCTAGCCTTGAACTGTCAACAATCCTCCTGCTTCAGCCTCCTGAGTGCAGGGATTATAGTGTTCACCACCATGCCCAGCTCTTTGAAGATTTGTACAATGAGAATTTTGAGTTGTTTTCCTGGAGGTGTTTGGGAGTCAGCTTTTCTTTGCTCTGTCTGCTAGTAGGGCTTTCCTTACTAGTAAAATATTCTTGTCTTTTTTTTTTTTTTTTTTTTTCACAGTTCACTGGAGCTTTTTTGACAGAAAGGGACAAACAATCCAAATGGAGTGGAATTCCTCAGTTGCTCCTTAAGCTATATGCCACCAGCCACCTCCACAGTGACTTCATTGAATGCCAAAACATCCTCAAGGTAATTCTTATGGGACTTAGGGGAGACACATTCAGAGTCTCCAGGTGACATAACTGTTTGCTTTCTTTAATAGCCTGTTTGAATTGTGAGAGCTGTTCAGAAAAAGTCCAAGAAGAAAGGGATTTGGATGACACTATTTCCCCCATGGTTCTGTGGATCGAACCCGAGCTCTCAAGCATGATATCCAGGTGCTCTTTTACTGAACTACATGTCTGGCCCTGGATAACACTGTTTTTGAACACAGTTTTGAACCCATATTGCTGAAGACTCCTGGAGGAGCCTTGTGGTTGCTGATTTGATGGGGTAGATTGGATGGTTGGGATAGGAATGAAGAATGCAAAGATGTGTGCTGAGGTGATTCTGAGTGTGTAGCAGAGCACTGGGCCCTACCAGAAATTTTGATTCAGTACATCTGGGGTTACTTTATCCAACAAACTTTAGCTTGGGCCAAGTGTGAACTTCAAGTACTGCTCTAGTTGCAGTTATAACTGGGTGAGGATATATTATCATAATGAAACTGAATGATATAATGTTCTTCAGAGGTGAAATTTTTGTGATTACATCACAGACTTCTTCAGTCTAATATGTTATAGTGATTAAGCTTATTTACCTTTAAGAAGAGACATTTTTGGGCCAGGGATTTAGCTCAGTGGCATAGCGCCTGCCTGGCAAGAGTAAGGTCCTGAGTTTAATTCCCATTGCCAAAAAAACAAAAGAGAGACATTTTCATGTTCTTGATTTTGTCATAATCTAATTGATTGAAATAATTAGAACCCCTTACATTTATTTAAAAATACTTTCCAAAGAATAGTACATTATTTCATTTGATTTGAGATACAGTGTTAAAGTAAAATCAAAGAGAGAAATTGATATGTTAGTCTTTGATGTGTGATCATTTCTTTATTCATCCAGCAAATCACCAAATGTTTATGTAAAATTTACTGTGTAGCAGGTTTTCCTGTAAGTTTTTTTGCAAGTAGCTTTGTACCACATGAACAAAAGATTCTATCGCCTGCCAAAATTTAAGAATTACCTCCCTTTGTCTACAGTTTCATATACTTGCTATGTCTTGAGACCTATCACAAGATAATTATTCTAGCCTTTTCTTCAAAAAGATTTAATCTCGAGGAAAAAAAAGTTTTCAAATAGATACAAAGTGAGAGTATTAGATGTGCGCTAAAAGTTAAGTGTCACAGATGACTTACAGGTTGCTTTGGGGATAGAACATCAGATTGTGTTTGAGCTGGGGAAATCAAGGGCGAGATCCTTTGGAAGGTGATATTTGAGCAGAGATTTGGTTATTACTGTATATAACTCAGTAGCTGAAGTGGAAACCACCGTTTATCTCATAATTTGTGGTTAAGTGAGTGGTTCTGCTTCCTGTGCTATTGGAGATTGAGACGTCTAAAATGTTAAAATAGCCTCGCTCACATCCCAGGCAGGTCGGTGCTGGCCATCAGCTGGAGATTGGCGGTGGCAGCAGTCATGGTCTCAGTTCTCCTTGCTGTGGCTTCTTCCCCAGGTGGCTGTGTTGGGCTTCTTCTTCCGATCAGATTCCAAGATGGCAAAGGCCAACTCTACCAGGCCTTGAGACTTACCGCTGGAAGTGGCGTACTGCCACTTTGCCATGTTCTGTTAGTTGAAGCAAGTGGCACCAGTGCAGAGTCAGTGAAGAAAGGGACTCTAAAGGGGTGTGGGTACGAGGGCATGTGATTCATTGAGGCCCTTTCTGCTCATGCCGATTCAGTTTGTGACTAAAATGAAAACCAATATTTTAGCATCTGGTCTGTGTTGAATTCTAAAACAAAATGTTTGTGTTCCTTTTTTTAAAGGAAATTTCCCCTCTTCTCTCTATGGAGGCTATGGCATTTGTTACTGAAGATAGGAAACTTACTCAAGAAACTACTTATCCAAATACATATATTTTTGATTTGTTTGGAGGTGTTGATGTAAGTAGCTCTTTATTCTTCTATCAGTATTACTACATTGATGGTTTGAATATTTAAATGTTAAAGTGGAAGACAGGACGCATTTCAGAATTTATGACAAACATTTCAGATTTTGACTTATAGAAGATCGGGGGCATTCACCTGTGTAAAAATGGCATAGTTTTTTCTCTCTGTGTCTTTTTTTTTATGATAATATAACCACCTGTTTTTTAAAATACCAAATAAAAAGTGTGTTTCCCAGTTTCCCAGTATCTCCTCCTCAGAAGCAGTTGTGATTACTAGTTTCTTGTATGTCTTTGTAGAGATGTTCCGTTGCTCTGTGTAAATGCCCCCTCACCTACCTCAGTTTATTTTCTCCCCACATTTAGTGGCATGCCATGTAACCTTTATACTCTCCCCTACTTTATTTTTTTCATGTAACCCTACCAAGAGGATAGTTTCATTTCAGTACATGTAGATCTGCCTGTAGTGGTTTAAATATGAAGCGCCCCCCCATCCAAAGACTCATGGACTGGTGGGCTTGATCTCCAATGTGGCAATGTTAGGAGGTGGGGCCTGGCTGAAGAGATTGGTCGCTGGGAGCCCACCACTGAAATGCTTTTCTTCTTGGGCTCTTCCCCTGCTCTCTGCTTCCTGGCTGCTGCGAGGTAAGCAGCTTTCTTCTGCTGTAATGTTTCTACCTTGGAGCCTGCTTACTATGGACTGAAACCTCTGAAACCATGAGCCAAAATAAACCATTCTGCCTTTAAGTTATGTATGTCAAGTATTTTATCCCAGCAATGGAAAGTTGACTCACTGCCTCATCATTTACAATAGCTAAATGGTATTCTCTGCTATAACTGTACTATGATTCATTTATGCAGTCCTTCATTTATGGACACTTACAGTTTTTTCACGCCTTTTCTATAACAAACAAGGTTAAAGATTTTGTATGTATTTTTTTAATGTGAATGTAGACTTTTGGAATCAAAGCATGTGTGTCTTAATATTGTTTTCTGTATTAACTGCAACTTACTAACTTACATTGTCAGTTACAAAGTATAAGAGTGTGTTTACCCACACCATCACCAACGTGTTGTATGTATGTGAGTGTTTTTATGGATTTGTTGTGAAAGTATAGTCTTCATACAGAAGAGTACACCAATAATTACCACCAAATAAATTCACTTTTGACCTGCTGCCCAAATCAAGAAATAGGAGATTACCAGGACTTAGAAGCTGCCTTCACCAAACTGTGTATTTTAAATATTTCCTAACTAGATGTGAGAAAAATCTTATTTCTTCATAGTTTTATTTTACCAGTTTATAGACACACGGTGCACATGCTACACAATTCACACATTTAAAATGTACAGTTGATGTGCTCACATTGGCAGTACATACACTAAAGCAGAAAGGATACAGAGAAGATTATTAGCAAGGCCCTGTGCAGGGATGACACGTAAAGTATACACTTCATTGTTTTTTAGTGTGTAGACATCACTGCAGTCAGATTTAGAACATTTTACCCCTTACAGAAGATCTCCATATACATTAGCTGTCATTCCCCTACCTCTCCAGCCCTTAACCCTGCTGTAGGAAACCACTAATCTACCTTCTGTCTCTATAGATTTCCCTGTTCTGAACAATTTGTATAATTGGGGTCATGTAATATATGGTCTTTTGTAACTGGCTTCTTTCACATAGCACATTGTTGTCAGTGTTTATCTGTGTTGAAGTGTGTGTCAGTACCACACTTTGTACATTCATGTGTGTAATGATGGTCAGTTGGGCTACACAGTTTCATGTTCCTATCAGCAGTGTAAGAAGATTCTGGCTTTTCTGTATCCGTAATGCTTATTATTATCTATTGTTTTCATTGTAGCCATTTTATCAAGGGTGAAATCAGAATGAGATGAAACTTTGTATACATAGTTTACTTTGTATAGCAATTATTTGCAATGAATAAAAGTATCCCAGGAGAGGTAGTGTTATTTTATCCTCTGATTGAATTTTCTGAAGTTAATAATGTTAAAATTTTAGTAGCATGGGAAAATTCAATACCGTTGTATTTGCTCTATGATAATCTTTAAAAAGATGATTTGGGGTCTCTATCTCACAAAGCAAACCAGGCCTGCATTAAAGGGCACCTTTTATTGTTCCGTGTTATAAGACTTGTTGCTTTTCTCCCTTACAAGTGCAATTGATGTGAAATGCAGATATGTGGAAAGCTGAACTAAACACTTTTCTAGAAATGATATTCTGTGGTACAGGGGCACTCGAGGGTTTTTATTTTCCAATCTATTGAGCTAAAACAACACACATTTCCCCTTTCTCTTTCGGTTCAGGATGTTGAAACATGATGTCTCATTCATCCTAGGAGCGATCCCAAGAATGTGGATTTGCTTTCTAAAGACTTGTTGCTAGTTTGAGATGACAGAAGTTGTCTCAGATCTTCCAGCTGATCTGTCTAGCCTCAGATTTTTATGTTGACTGTTTTTTAAAAAATGCTCGCTTCAGCAGCACATATACTGAAAGTACGATAGGATTGTTTTTCTCCTGTTTAACTTGGGGTGTATTGGACATGCTCCCCAAATATTGGCCTGTAGCTAAAAGGGGCTAGAAGAGGTTTTTTTTCCTTGTTCTAAAATTGCACTTAAATTGATTTAAACAATAACATAAACCATGCATGTACATATATAGGTATATCTGTATATCTATCTATGTATATATGTGGTTGATGTTTAAACATGGTGACTTAGCATATGATCTCAGCATATAGATTACTTTAAAATGCTTGAATGTAGATAAGTAGAAACTGACTTTTTAAAAAAACCTATCTACACAAAGGTCCTTGTTATAAAAGTAAGTGGTATTCATTAAAGAAAATTTAGGCCAGTCACTATGGCATGTACCTGTAATCGTAGCTGCTGGGGAGGCTGAGGCAGGAGGATTACAAGTTCAAGGCCAACCTAGGAATAACTTATCATGACCCTATTTTAAAATAAATTTTAAAAGGGCCGAGGATGTAGCTCAGTGATAAGTACCCCTGGGTTCAATCCCCACAGCCACCCCCATTTATTTTATTTTTTTTAGAAAACTGTCTTTGAGCCTGTCACTAAATTCAACCACTGTTAAGATTTAAAGTAGTCTGACCTTTATTTTTTTTTTACATTGACTTAGATTTTCATTAAAGTTTTTAAAACAATAGCTTTTTGGTTTTGTGTTTGATTTAAAGTAGTCTGACCTTTATTTTTTTTTTACATTGACTTAGATTTTCATTAAAGTTTTTAAAACAATAGCTTTTTGGGGTTTTGTTTGTTTGTTTTTGAGACAGAGTCTCACTATGTAGTTGAGACTGACCTGAAACTCACTATGTAGCTCAGGTTGGTCTCAAACTCACAGAAATCCTCCTGCCTCAGCCTCCCAAGTGCTGGGATTACAGGCATGCGCCGCCACGCCTGGCTTAAAAACAATAGCTTTTTTGAAATAGAGTTTATATACCTTGCCGGGCAGTGTCCTTTGAAGCACAAAAGTTTTTAATTTTGGTGAAGTTCGTTTTATCTAAATTTTTTTTTCTCTTTTACTTCTTGGGTTTTGGTGTATATCTAAGAAACTATTGCCTAATCTAAGGTCACAAAGATTTACCCATTTACTTTCTAAGAGTTTGATAGTTTTATCTCTTACATTTAGGTTTTTTGTTTTCATTACAGCAGAACATTTGTTGGTACGTTTTAGACATACATAATGATAGCACTCATCAGAGGGAATTTGCACCCCATACAATACCTCCCACCTCTTTTGTTCCGAGTCCCCCTTCCCCTCAATCCTCCCTCCCCTTCCTTTGTACAAAAGCCTTGTTTCCATTTTAGGTGCATATATCTTTATGATTGTTATATATTTCTGATGGATTACCACCTTATCAATTATAAGTTGTCCTTTTAACAGAATTTTAAAGTACATGTTTATTACAAACTTAGTTTAAGGAAAATTGTGTGTAGTATTATAAGTATGTAAAATGAAAAATATATACCCTCAATCTCTATAGAAATCAGTGCTAACAATTAATGGTTTTTCTGGAGATCTTTTAAAAAAATAAACACATGCATATGTTCTTTAAGCAAAGAGTCATAGTAGTAGTAATGTTCCATAGCTTTTCAAAACTTAAAGCCACATTGGACCCTAGAGAATCCTTAATCTAATATATTCATTTTTAAAAATAAGAAATCTGAGGCCCAAGTAGGAACATTAACTTCCCAAGTTTACTGGAGAATAAGTGGCTAAGCTGGGACTAGAACCCAAGTTTTCCTGTCTGGCTAGAATGCTCCTTCCAGGGAATCTCACTGCCTCCTAAAACAATGATCTTGCAGTACTCTTGGGCTTTCAGTTGTCATGGAAAAGACTTTTATAAGTTGTGCTTTGAATTAATTTTTGAAGATTTTTATCTTTTTTTTTTTTTTTTTTTTTTTTAGCTCCTTGTAGAAATTCTGATGAGGCCTACAGTCTCCATCCGGGGACAGAAACTGAAAGGTAAGTGTGTTTGTCAGACTCTGGCCCTCGTCCCTAATCCGCCACTGTGGGGGCAATGCCCAGAAGTTGCTCTTCCGTGAAGCCTTCCTGGCTCCTCACAGCGAGGATGTGCCTCGCATGCAGCTATGGCTTGCTCTCTCCTCTCGCTAAGCAGCTCTCTTCCTCCCTTCAATACTGGGTAAGAATATAGGTCTGATGCTTTCAGAGAAAGAGCATGAAAACCACTGATCTAAAAGAATTACATCTTTGTATTTTTCTACTAGTCTTTTGGTCCAACTTTTAGGTTTTGTTTGGAAATTCTGGGGATCGAACTCAAGATCTTGCTCTTGCATGGCAGGCATGATGCCACTGAGCTAAATCCCCGGCCCTTGGGAATTCTTATTTCATATATATATAGCTAGCTGAGAGAATAAGAAATAACCTGGTACAATCACCTTTTTTGGTTTAGTTTTTTAAAAACCTATTAAATTTTTGTTATAAGGGTAATACATACTTTTTGTAAAAAAACAAAAACACTGCAATCATGCCAGGCACAGTGGCATGTGCTTTTGTACACTTGTAATCCCAGCTACTTGGGAGGCTGACTGGAGGGGTGCCAGTTTGAGACCAGCCTAGACAATTTGGCAAGATTATGTCTTAAAATAGAAAGGACTGAAGAATGTAGCTCAGTGTAGAGTGCCCTGGCTTCAATCCCCAGTAACACAAACAAAAACAACAGCAGTATATATGGTAAAAATCAGAGTATTTTCTTACTACATAACTTTTAAAGCCAAGTGGGTATATGGGTATTATTCTATTGTTCTTTATAACTTACACATATTACAAAATTTTTTTAGGTATTCAGATTTAAATTTTTTAAAAAGTAAGTGCATTTCATTTTGTTATTAAAAACCAAAAGCTATATGTGGTGGCACATGCCTGTAATCCTGGTATTTGGGAGGCCGAGGCAGGAGGATCACTGTAAGTTCCATTCAGCCTGGACTACATAGTGAGTTCAAGGCCAGCCTGAACTATATACTGAGTCCCTGTCTCAAAAAACATACATACATGGGGCTAGGGATTTAGCTCAGTGGTTCCACCTCCTGCCTGACAAGCACATGGTCCAGAGTTTGATCCCTAGTACCAAAGAAAACAACAAAACATAAATATATTCATACATACATGCATACGTGCATGCATGCCAGAAATCACTTCAGTTAACATCTGAATGCCTTTCTACAAACATCACATATAGATTTTTTAAATTTTTTGAAAATTTTCGTGCCTAACATCAATAAAGCATACTGTATATAACCTCATTTGTATGTGCAGCAGTAGATCAAAGAATTTATATTCATCTTTATCATCTCAGTTTTGTACTCTAAGTTGGTCCTTAATGTTTTCTGCTGCAACAGCTAGTAGCATCTTGGTTACTTGCTGGTGTACTTGCTCTCTCTTCCTTGCATTAGATTTATAGGTTCCGTGGGAGCTGAGACTTAACTTTTTTCTTTTTAGCATACTACTGTCTGCTTTAGGGTAGATGCTGAATGAATATTTGGTAAGTGCACCAATCCCAACTCCCTTTGAAAATGGCAAGTGTAGAAATTCTTAGATATATGCATATGGTGTTCAACCTTGCTCTGAAGTCATTAAATAAATAGGCAAAATAAAAAGCCACAAAATAGGTTGAGAGGTAGTAATTAGGGGTACTAGATAAGTGCTTTGTCTTAAGAAACATGAAGCAGCCTGTCTTGTCAGGCTAGCTTGACAGAGCTGCTCTTTGGAATCTCAGAGGAAGACCTACTATTTCAGAGTTTATGCCAGCACAGAAGTGAATGGAAACAAATTTTAAAAAATAAAAGCATTGCAACTCAGTGCAGCGATTCATGCCTGTACTTCCACTAACTTGGGAGGCTGAGTCAGGATTGTAAGTCTGAGGCCAATCTGGGCAGCTTGGTGAGACCTTGGTGGTAGAGCATCCCCAAGTTCAGTCCTACAGTATTGCATGAATGCATGCATGCTAAATATATAATCATACTCAGTTTTATCATCTCCTGGTTTGGGCTTCATGAAAATTAAGCCCCGCCCTTTTTATGCTACTCTTCTATTCATTTCACAAAGAAACAGCAAGTTCTTTGTTGGAATCAGTAAGTCAGACATTAAAAACCATTTTACTCAGCCGGGGATTTAGCTCAGTGGTTCCGCCACCTGCCTCGCAAGCACAAGGTCCCGAGTTCCATCCCCGGTACCCCCCACAAAAGCCATTTATTCAGAACAAATAACAACAACAAAAACTAAACAAAATTGATCAGTCTGCTGCTAGCAGAATGTTCAGTGGAAATTTATAACAGGAACAATGAAGATGCTTATACTTTGGGTTCTAATCATTCTGCTTTTGAAAATGTATCTTGATGGTCCAGATCAACACAGGCATAAATACACATATATATTAAATTTTTTATTTGTAGTCTATTTAAATAGCAAAAAACAAACAATTCCAAACGCTGGATATATCCTAGGCGAGACACAGGGAAACTAGCTTGGTCAAATGATAGCATCATAACAGGTTGAAATTATGAAAGTTGTGGAGCATAAGAACGTGGCTGCTATATCAAACCCAGAAGCAGTATGCAGGTTGATTTGTAGGTTCTGAGAGGCGTTAGAAAATCAGAGATCCCTTGGTACAATTGTGAGAATTAAGTGAGATAAATAGATGTGACAACATTTTGTAAAGTGACATGTACAGGAAATTATCTTGAAGAGAACTGCAATAGTTCTTACCTTTTAAAAAGTTTAATAATGTTACACTGTCTTTTCAATGAAAAAAATAACCAGTTATTCCCCTTTGCCTTTCAGTAAGCGATGAGATGTCCAAGGACTGCTTGAGCATCCTGTATAACACCTGTGTTTGTGTAAGTACTCCTGCTGCTGGGGCACTGTTTATCTCCCACCACATCTTTAGTGCTGAAGAAGGTAACATTCAAGTATAGGTTGCGGATGTGAAAACTCTCTTTGGACATTTGAGGGAATTGGACTGATGTGTGCCTGATAGTAGGACCAACAGATAGAAATAATGGGAAGGCAGAGCTGAGTGTGGTGGTGCAAGCCTGTAATTCTAGCACTCAGGAGGCTGAGGTAGGAGAATCACCTTGAGTTTGAGGTCAGCCTTGGTTACATAGTGAGTTGAAGACCAGCCTGGACTATGTAGCAAGACCCTGTGTCAAGAAAAAGAGTGGTCAGGCAGCCTTGTAGGAATTATTAAGAGCCAGGGCTACAACACCTTTAGCCCTAGATGTGTATAAGTGGAGACAGAGCAATTACTTATCAAAGGGCAGCAAGCACTGGCAGAGTATCTTTGTCCTTTAAGATTCGCTTTAACTCCTTTATGCCCATTCCTTCATTTTCCTCATTAAAGAACAAAACAAGAACCAGAAGCTCACCTCTATGTTGAGTGAAACATTCCTATACTAACCACCGAGCCTGGAAGAATGGTGAATAAAGGAAACACTTTGGTGGAAAGAGAAGAGCAGAGCCTATGATCCTAGCACTCTGGGAGGCTGAAGCAGGAGGATCACAAATTTGAGCCTAGCATGGGCAACTCAGCAAGACTCTTTCTCAGAAAAAAAAAGAAGTGGGGTGAGAATATAGCTCATTGCGAAGGGCTTGAGTTCTATCCCAGTACCACCAAGAAAAAGAAGGGCAGCGAGGGCTGGGGATTTAGCTCAGTGGTGCCGCCACCTACTTCTCAAGCGCAAGGTCCTGAATTCGATCCCCAGTACCAAAAATATAAAAATTTAAAAAGAAGGGCAGAGCATTTAATGTTAGAAGTTTGTTAGTTTGTTTGTTTGTTTGTACCGGGGATGGAACTTAGCAACTTGTGCTTGTGAGGCAGGTGGCAGCACCACTGAGCTAAATCCCTGGCCCAGAAGTTGGTTTTGTGTTTAGCATTTAGCTTGGTACATCTCTTTGAGCCTTAGTTTCTTATCCGTGGAGAACAGTCAGTAATACTAACATCACAGGTTTTCAGAGCTGTAGATGAGATAACAGATTTGAATACATTTTGTAAAGCAATATGTAAAAGCTAGTTTTTATTAGACACAGTACCTATTAGGAACTTATGGTCCAGCAAGCCTTGTAAACGGCTATAATTCGCAGCAGAGTGGAATAAGTGATATTGTAGAAGTGAAACCCATAGGCCGCAGAGATACAAAAGACACATTTGACCCCACTTCTTGCCTCATTCAAAAAAATATTTTAGGCTATTTATGACAGCATGTGAAATTCACCAAGATCACAAACTGAGAAGTACAGGGGGACATAAATTCAGCGAAGAATTCGACATATAAAAATGTAGATCATAAAATCATCTTACTATTTATAGACAGGGCACAGTTTCAGTTTTAAGCTTCTTAGTAGTCAACACAAATAGAGAAGTATGTTTGAAAACTTACACAAATCAGTATCTATAATAGTACAGTGTCTATAATAGTAATGCAGGCCACTTTAGTTATTTTGAATTTCCTGTAGCAACATGTTTTTTGAGACAGGGTCTTCCTATGTAGTCCAGGCTACCCTTGAACTCACTTTGTAGCCCAGGCTGGCCTTGAACTAGTGGCAATCCTGCCTCAGCCTCCTGAGTGCTGAGATTGTAGGCATGTACCACCACACTCAGCCCCTTAGCCACATTTTTAAAAGAAAACAATGGGAAATAGATTAAGTTAATTTTAATAATATATTTTAACAAAGTATATCAAGAATATTATTTTTTCAGTATAATTACAAATGAGATTTTTTTTTCTTTCAAATCCCAGTGTTAATTTTTATACCTGGTGCTCATCTCACTTTGGACTAGGCCACATTTCAGGTGTGTAGCAAATGTCACAGATAGACACAGACAGATCTATAAGATGAAGAACTAATTGTTCAGGAAATATACAACTATTTTTGCAACTAAGGCCTGTAAGAAGTAGTTCTTTTTTTTTTTGGTACTAGGATCAAACTCAGAACCTTGCACTTGCAAGGCAGGCGGTAGAGCTACTGAGTCACATCCCTGGCCCAGAAGTAGTTTTTAAAAGAAAAATGTAATGGCTGCGTCACTGTCAACTTCTCATATAGTCATTAATTTTATGAGGCTGTTTTAAAATTGTGATGCCACCGGGCGTGGTGGCGCATGCCTGTAATCCCAGTACTCAGGAGGCTGAGGCAGGAGGATCACTGTGAGTTCGAGACCAGCCCGGGCTACATAGTGAGTTCCAGGTCAGTCTCAACTACATAGTAAGATCCTGTTCCCCCCCAAAAAAAAAATTGTGATGCCTAATGTCAATGAGGTGGCATTCTAGTAAAACACTGTTTTTTAAGGGAGATGTAAAGAATGGTGGATGATATGGTCCAACTGCTGGTCTGACTTCCTTTCAGGTTAGATGGAGAGCCTGTAGCTCTTGAAAGTTGTGACAGCGGTGTCTCTAGGGACTAAGCACAAAACGAGATATTTGAAATTGCCTGTTTTGGCCTGGGGAGTTGTATCAATTTTGACAAACTTGAAGCAAGCAAATCTTGTGTAAACATATTTAAATTAAAAAATTTTAAAGTACCCATGGCCAGATGAAACTTGGCTTACTGGGTACTAGTTTGTAGTTTCTCATTTAGATACTAAGTCCAGAACCTATGATAAGTATCTTGAAAAATACCCTCCCCAGAAAATGCATTGTATAGTGTATGGGAAATTTAATGCCTTGTGATATAGAGGAAAGGAATAATTGTGTATGGCATTTAATCCTAGTCTGGAAGGCTTTCCAGAAGAGGATGCATTTTAGCCAGTCTCTAGAAGGAGTAGCAGTTGATAAGTTGAAGAGAGGAGAGGGCGGATGGTCAAGGGTAGCTAGTCAGGGCAACAGGTTTGTGTGTTCGACAGCCTGGGCAGTTTTTCCCCTTTTGGTAGAGATTGAGCCCAGGGTCTCATGTGTCTTGGCAAGTGCTGTATCACCGAGCCACACTTCTTCACCCTGAAAAGGTGCCTTATTTTTAATCTTTGAAAACATGGTACATCTTTCCTTTTTCCCTCTCCTTAAGCTGGGATCGATCTGGTTTGAATTAAGCTACAGTCAGTCCTGTTTCACATCTCATAGCCAGTGTAGGTGCTATATGAGCTTGGAGGAACAATACTTTTTTTTTTAATGTACCAATTGCTACAGCTAAAGAACAGAAATGGAACATTAATATAGAATCAAACTGAGACTGCCTTCCTTATTGCCCTTCGATTTATATACTCAGCACAGTTTTATAGATGCCTCAGTATGAAATTTTAATTTGCTTTGACATGTTCATGCCGCTTACTGTAAAGTGCTTCCTAGCTTCGGGTTCCTGTATACCAGTGATGGCTTTTACAGCGTTCAGTGGTACAAACAACCTGCTGTGGCATGCATGCCATAAGTTTGCCACCACTGCCATATACCTGGTGTTCACCTGTACATCATCTGATCATATTCTTTTTTTTGTACATAGTGCTAGAGACCAAGCCCAGGGCCTTACTGTATGAAGCAAGGCTCTACTGCTAAGCTACACCTGCCTGATTATATTCTTTAAAGAGAAGTCATGTTTGTTGCAATCTGCTTTTCAGAAAAAAAATTTTTTTTTCTTTTCTGGCTTTGTGGCTGTAAAGAATGAAGAAGAAATATTAAAGCCACTAAGATCTGGTTGCTCTACAGGGTGGGTATGTGTATGTGTGTTTATGGTTAAGAGAGCAATATTGCAATTTTAAATTCAAGCTCTTGCACCTACTTTTGGGGACTTTCTCGAGATTTTATTTCCCAAATACTTCTTGTCTTTTTTTTTAATTAAGTTTATTGTTACATTTTAGGTATACATAATGATCACATTCATCATAGGGAATTTGTACCTGTACATGATACTACTTCTTGTCTTGCAGTCTAGTCTTTAAGCAAACGTTTCATAACTATCTGCCCTGTCTAGGCCTGCTGTTGGGTACCAGGGGGCGCAAAGATGAATAAAGTAGAATCCCATCTTCAGGTGGCTCGTATTTCATGGGTGAGGGTGTAGGGTGTGGTAAAGGAACTGGACAAATACAGACCAAGTGCTTTGGCCTGCAGAGGAGAAGCAGAATGTGTGTGGAGTAGGTCAGGGGAGGTTTCATGCCCGAGGTGGCATTTGGAAGAGTTGGTAGGCTTGCCCGCCTGTTCTTGTCTTTGATGCTGATCTCTTTCATAAACAATGAAGCGATTTCTTTGACTGAAAGAATAGCAAATATAGATAAGATGCAGAATATATAAATCATGTGTGATCCTATTAACCAGATTAAGTGCCAGCAATTTGCTGCAAATAATTTAAGAATGTTGGTATGTGTTGGTATGTATACAAGCTCCATTTCATGGCCAGCTTTTTTATTCTATTAAAATTGTAAAGATTAGCTACAGTATTTGTTCTAATGCATGCTTTATAACATAGGCATAGTATCCTTGATTCATCTGTTCCATATTAGCAGATGTTGGTATTGTTCCTGTATTCTAAATGGTGCTGACAGGTACAGAGTTGTTGGGAAGTACAAAGTGGTAGAAGTAGGAAAAGCCCCTGTGTGCATGAGTTTTAACAGCAGGTCATTCAGCCTGATGCAGCGTAAGGTGAGTCCCAGGAATTTGTTCCTGACAGGTAACTTTGCTCCTGTTCGCAGAGCCTTTCAATGTCACTTAGAAGAGTGGTACTCAATTGACTGGCAAAGGAAACATGAAGTCTTTTGATTACTCTAAGAAGATTGTTTTATCTATAGGATAGCGGCAGAGCCTTACTATATAGACAGTGTTTACATGCATTTCCTAACTGAATCCTCTCAAAGACTTGTGAAATAATCATTTTTCAGATGAAGAAATGGAGGTCCAAAGGTGAGAAGTGATTTGTTTACGTTTACCTCACTGGAATTAGAACTTGGGTCTGACCCTAAAGCCCATGCTTCAAAATACCACTGGGCTTCAAATTTGAGAACGGCTTCCAGAACCATTTTGCAAGCTCTTAGGAAATGCTGTGTTGCTGTGTTCAACTTACACCGCAGTTTGGGCTCTTAAGTGCATTCATTTACACTGACCACTGTTCCAAAGATGCTGGTTTGTCCTCGACGTGAAGTCATTTGGGGCTTAGTCTTTACAGGCCAACTGAGGTCACTGGCCCCTTTTCTCATGTTCACAGACTGTCTGTTGCATAGTCAGGGTACCAGCAGTCCTCTCTCTTCTTCCATGGCCCAGGAGTTTGAAGTGTTTCCCACAGTTAACCCATGACATCCCTGATTATGTCAGTTTTCCAAGATTGGAATGCTTTCCTGATATCTGGAAGGGTTGCCTTGCTCTTCATATTTTATTTTGTGGTCACAACCTATTCTGTCTTTTCTCCCTTCTCCCTGTAACAGACAGAAGGAGTTACAAAGCGTTTGGCAGAAAAGAATGATTTTGTGATCTTCCTGTTTACACTGATGACGAGTAAGAAAACATTCTTACAAACAGCAACCCTCATTGAAGATATTTTGGGTGTTAAAAAGGTGAGCTGTGTCCTCTAGCAGGTATCTAACCAGATGGGGGATGTCTCAGACCATTGGATTCTCAAACCTGAAAAACATAAAGAGCTCTTTTAAAAGAAATTCGTCTGTACACTTAGTGTTAAATTGTTTTTTGTGTTACTAAGATATACTTCTTATATTAATGGATCTTTTATGACTAAAACCTAAATATATATAAGTTGGGTTAAAACTACTTATGAAACTTGAAACTTCAAATTCACTTGGTGAATTTATTTATTTATTTATTTATTTATTTTTAATTGAGTTTATTGGTACATTTTAGGGATACAGTTCAGTTACATTCATTGTTAGGATCTTGTACCTCTACATGACAGGTCTTGGTTCTCATTTTTTCCCCTTGTCCCTACCCTCCCTTCCTCCCTCCTCCCCTCCCCTCCCCATTTGCAACCACTTTATTTCCATCTTTTCATTTTCTCACATTTTTTCTTTTCCCTTATTAATTTTTTAAAATTTTTAAATTTTTTATTTTTTGGTACCAGGGGATCGAACTCGGGTCTTTGTGCTTGCAAGGCAGGTGGCAAAACCACTGAGCTAAATCCCCAGCCCTCACTTGGTGAATTTAGTGAGATGGCTGATGTCTTTTTGTTGAGATAGGGGCCGGGGATTTAGCTCAGTGGTTCTGCCGCCTGCCTTGCAAGCACAAAGACCTGAGTTCAATCCCCAGTACCAAAAACAAGACAAAAAAAACAGAACTGGAGTCCTTTTGTTGAGATAAAAGTGCTCCTCTTAAGTTATTATGGTACTTATCCAGGCATGGTAGCACATTCCTGTAATCCCAGCACTTGGGAAGCTAAGGCAGGAGGATTGCTTCAAGTTTGAGGCCAGCCTGAGCTATACATAGTGAGTTCAAGGCCAGCCTAAACTACATAGTGAGACCCTGTTTCAAAAACAAAACAAACAAAAAACCCTGCCAAAATTAAGGCACAAGTTTGTTTTGGTGTATTTGTTCTAAGACATGCAGTGACTACTCTCAAACCATTTTTCTGTTGTTGAACTGCTGTGAAACCTTTATTCATTAGTCGGTTCCCTATGGTTGTAATGTTTGGCGTTTTCCTAAGTTCACCTCTGTTTTTTTCTCATCAGTTTTTTAATAATTAAAGTTGATCAGTGCCTGGCTGGCAAACATGAGGCCCTGAGTTCAGTTTCTGATACCAAAAAAAAAAAAAAAAAAAAAAAAATTGATTAATTGGCATCTACACAAGAGACAAATGTAAGCAATGAATTCCTGCCACTTGATCTATAGTGTTTTTTAAAAATTGTGATCAAAATGAAAATACTGAAAAAATTTACACAGACTTTTCTGTTAGTCACTGTGTTAGAATTTTTGTGGGGAGAGGGTTGGGTTTTTTTTGTTTTTTGAGACAGGATCTCAGGCTGGCCTTGAACTTACTGTGGAGCCCCGGCTGGCCTTGAATTCTTGGAGATTCTTCTGCCTCAGCCTTCCAAATGCTGGGATTATAGAGGAGCTCTACCATGCCCAGCTACTATGTTAGGTTTTGGGTAATGCTTGTATAGACCCAGAGCTTACTTCTCTGGGCTTATTCCAAGCCTCTATATTGGTTGCTGGTTAGCACATTTCTTCCTCTTATTGCTAGGCAGCATCCTTGAGGTTGCCATTGCAGGAAAAGAGGGTACCTATGCACAGCTGTCCTTTTTACCCCTCTGCCTTGCTTCCCCAGGCCTTGCTTGTCATTGTCTAGGCAGAAGCAGCACAAATGGCCCTTTTTCTGTAGTAACTGATCGGTGCTGTGTACAGACCCCAGACAAACCCTTTGTGTCCTTCGATAAAAAAAGGCTTTGTCATTTTTCCAATAATTGTGTGCTCTGGCCCATGTGGACAAGGGCATCTCCATGGCAGAAACGGCAGGCTCCCCAGCAGTGATTGCTCCTTTCTAACTTTTTCCACCTGGTCTCTCACATCCTCTCATCCCTTTTTATGTTGCCAAAAATGATGATGGGTTCTACTATACTTTATGGATAGCTTGGTGCCATTTGTAAGGGTAGGTAGACACCAAAACAAAAGGAGAAACACAAACTATAAAGTGAGAAAATGTATTTGCAGTTATGTAACCATGGATTGGTATTCAGAATTTGTAAAGAATTCTTACAAATCAGTGTGAAAGGTAAATAGCCTAGTCCAAAAGTGAGCAATAATGTGAATAAGCATTTCAGAAAAGAGAGGTGGGCCGTAACTATGAGAAGATACTTAACTTCACTGATAAACAAGGAAATGCAAATCCCATACCATGGTAAGGGGGAAAGCGAGCATTTGGAGCATGTGCATCAGTAGAAACACTGATATATTATTGCTGATTTGTTTTGTGCCAGCAAAATCTGTTTGATTGTAATTTCTTAGGTTTTATGCTTGAAGGTGCACATACCCTGTGCCCCAGCACCTAGGGAAGCTCTGCCCAAGGGCTGAAGTGTCAGTGTGTGTTTCGTTGTGGTCACCTGTCACTTGTGCCTGAGCACCAGGAGGGGGTCGGTTCTACAATAGCGATTCTCAGGGCCAGAGGTTTAGCTCACTGGCACTGCGCCTCCCTTGCAAGCTCAAGGTCCTGAGTTCGAGCCCCAGTACCAATAAATAAATAAATAGTGGTTCTGAGAGGTGAAAACACCAGAATGAACCCAGGAGATCAAAGTGTATCAGGTAAGGATATTGTTTGAAGACATTTTTCTTCCATGTTTTTATATATACATGCACACACACACACACACACACACACACACACATTCTTGTATATATCATTTCTTATAACTACACATACATTGTACACATACCTTCTGACATGTATCTTTATTGGGTTGTAATGGAAAATATACACACTCTGAACACATGCTCATCAAGTAACATACAAGAACATTTGTAGCATCATTGTTTCAGAGCAAGAGAATTGAAAGTGTCTTTAATCCATGTCTCTTCACACAATGGAATATTATGAAGTATGTAAAGTATTAGAAATGAACGAACTGTTGCTTTTTAATAGCAAAGTAATAATTCACAGCACTGGTTACCTCGGAGATAGAAATGCAGAAGTAGCTATTCTTTTTGTTATGCTGCATAACGTATGTCTTACATAAACATTAAAACATAAGAAGTGGGCTTGGTGTGATAAGACTTGAGTTAGGGCAAACAGAACTGATGAGCTGAAAGTCAGTCCTGATTTCCAGTAACCTCACGTCTGTGTATATTGAGTGGGGAAGGAAACACCAAAGTGCAAGCAGCCGCTGCCAAATGCTCGGTCCACAGCAAACCTCTGTCCCCTTCTTTTATCAGAAATAGAGGGCACAGAGGCATTCAAGAATCATTGGCTTGTTTACTGTGCATTACTGATTCCCTTGCTGCCAGATGTGTGCCTTAGGGCCCACCCATCCCTCAAAACTGTTAGATTATTAGGGAAATAGATGCAGAAGCAAATGAGTACAAATCTGTGTTACATGCAGTGACAGAGAACTGCTTGTCCCAGTGGAAGTAAATCAGTGGGGTAAGGGATAGCAGTTATTATCTGAGGAATACAAGGGCAATTTAAAATGAGAAAAGCATACACATTTGCAGATTTTAAGGAAAAAAGTTGAGAATATAACCAAATAAGAGACATTTAAAAAAATTCAATATTTGTAATAAAAGCTAACATATTAGCTTTTTGTCACTATGACTAAATACTGGACATAGGCTACTTAGTAAGAAAAGAGGTTTATTTAGCTCAAGACCTGGCAGTGCATAGCTCAGGGCCTATGGCAGGCAGCAATGTGGGATGTATACAAGGAAGATTACATTTTGAGCTGGGAAACAGAGACTGGATGGACCCAACCTCAGGCTTTTTATAACAACCCTCTCCAAAGGACCACCATGGAGTCCCAAGAAGACTCCCTTCTGAGGGTATCCCAGTGTTTCAAGGACCTCTCAACAGGCTACCCTGGTAGGTATGCCTGCCTGGAGGCCACAGGTTGGGCGCACCTGTGTTACAATAAAAAGTTTTAAAGCAGAGGAAGTTTGTTACTTATATACATTAACCATTTTATCTGTTTTGTATGTGGCCAAGACCATTCCCTCTCACTCCCTGGGCTGAAGCGAGTCAAACAGATCCAGCTTGTGGGCCGTAGGTTGTGCATGCCTGTTCTGCCCTGGCCACCCTGGAAAGCAAGTTCTCAATACATGGACCTTTGGTGGAATTCAAACCATATTCAAATCATAGCTGCTAGGAATAGAAGAAAAATTCTCTTAACTCGATGTGAGGTATCTGTTAAAGTTTATAGTAAACATTAATTTGAAACTTTGGAAATACTTGTCAGAATTAAGACATAGACAATACCTGCTTCTCTGTACTCTAGATAAATGGTTACCTGTATGTACATACAAGGAACATCTGTGGGGATCTTCATTACAACATAGTTTAACCATGAAATGCCTATATAAAGAATAACTAAAATTGTGGAGTAAAGCAGTAAAAAAATTTGAACTGGCACTATGTGGGTCAGTATAGATAAATGTCAGTGTTGTTTGAGTTAGAAGGAAAGCGTGAGGCTAGGCTTGGTGGTGCACACCTTTAGTCCAATCACTGGAGAAGCTGGGACAGGAGGATCCTAATTTCAAGACCAGCATGGGCTACATAGCTTAGAAAGTAAGACAGTATCATATTCATGCTGGCCATACAGAGCAATGTGCCGTATAGTTTAATGGACATACTCAGAAGAATAAAAACATGCTCTGGGAATAATAAACACAAGTTAAAAATAATGGCAACCTCTGGGAAGAGAAAAGGAAATTAACTGGGTGGGGATACACAGAGGCCTTCGCTTTCATTGGAAATATTTCATTTCTTAAAAAGAAAAATCTGTAACAAGAAAGGTGATTTGTGATTTATAAAACTTGAGTGCTTGGGTCTGGCTGTTTTTGTTGCTGTTGTTCTGTTTTTTGATAGGCAATATGTGTCACACAGTAGAGAGTGGGACCATTAGTGTCCGAGGATAAATTTAAAGGACAATTCTTTGAAGTAGGTTATCCCATTCTACAAATAGCAAGGAAAGAGGACAGATTCCATGACTTTAGACCTAAGGTTATACAATTGCCAACTGCAGAGCTGGGATTTGGAGCTGAGCGAAACACCCTGCCCCGCACTTGTGGGAGAATGCAGGACACAACGGCACGTACGGTCTCTGGAGTGGACTGAGCACGGGGATTATTTTATTTGTGTCTTCTGTAGGAAATGATCCGACTAGATGAAGTTCCCAATCTGAGTTCCTTAGTATCCAATTTTGACCAGCAACAGCTTGCTAATTTCTGCCGGATTCTGGCTGTCACCATTTCAGAGATGGATACAGGGAATGATGACAAGCACACGCTTCTTGCCAAAAACGCTCAGCAGAAGAAGAGCTTGAGCTTGGGGCCTTCTGCAGCTGAAATCAACCAAGGTAAAGTCTCTGGGTTCTCAGAACTTTGAGACAGTAGCTCTGAGACCCTTCCTACATCATTTAGTTATTTTAATGTCTCTAGAGATTGATGTGTGAGGACTCGTAGGGTCCACTTATAGATTATGTAAAATTAATGTGTATCTTTCTATTTTGGCGAACCAAATTCTATAGCTTGCATCAGGTTTTTGAATGAGTTCAGAGTCTCAGAAACACCCCACTCTTTATCACAATTACAAATGCATATACTTGTGACCTACCAAGCCTGGTCTGGGCCTTGTCTTAAACATATGAGATATATCAAAGTTGTTCATAGCAATATTGTTTGAAATAACAAGTGACTGGAGACAACCCAGATGTTCATTAACAGAGTACTTATGTAATGAAAAATTGTATAGGTTTTAAAAAGATAAACATCTCTATGTACCGGTGTAGAAAAAAATCTCCCAAGATATATTAATGATGAAAAGGGGAAGGCAGAAGAGTGTGTGTAACGTGACACTTTTTACTAAGGCATGCCATTTGTTACTAACGTTACCTGTAAAGAACCTGAAAGAGGGTGTAAGAAGCATAAAGTGATTATTTGCTAGAAAGAGGCTAGAAACAGTAGAGGAGCAGCAGTGGCAATGGGACTTCTTAGTGTATACTTTTATATGGTGCCTGATTTAGAACCATGTGGGTATAGTAATTCAAACAAACATACAAACAAAAACCCCGCTATTCTAACCAGCCTACCCCAGTATATTTCTTTTCAGTCACAAAAGAACTCTGTTACTGATAAAGTATCCTGGCTTGAGCAGGTTTTGGGGAAACTAGGTATACATGCAGCCATAGATTTTAGATTATTCAGTTTTTAACAAACATTTATGTATTTCAAAATGTAATTTTTTGTTGTTGTTGTTGTTTTTTGTTTTCTGAGACAGGGTCTTTCTGTAGGTCGGTCTGTCCTTGAACTCACTACGTAGCCCCTCAAACTCACAGCCTGGTGATCTTCCTGCCTGAGTGCTGGGATTACAGGCCTGTGTTGCCACACCTGACACAAAATCTAGTTCTTGAATATTAATAGCTAGAAGTTAAAATGAAATTATTGACACATATCACTTTGTTCCTTGGGGTTAACAACAACAAAGAAACAGGTAAAGCAATAAGAAAGCTGTGGCCATTCCAAGGCAGCCTTCATGCTCCTCTGAAGAGCAGTCGGCTGCTGCGTTGAGCCCATGCTGGCTCTGCAGAGTTGTGAGTACCCACAACAGCCTCTTCACAATGCCGGATGCTCCCCCACTAACCCTGTTAATGGCCAGGCCATCCTAACTGTGCACTGTAGGTATGAAAGAATATAATTTTCCGTGTCTTATATAGAAACATAAGTATGTGGACTCTTTGAGCCCTAGAATAGTGGTTCTCCCTCCAGGCTTGCTTTTTCTCCTATATCTATAGAGAAAGGGCTTCCTTGGTTGGTATCAGGTTTTCTTCCCCTTCTTTTCTTACAACTTTTGGGAAGTTCTCAGTGTATTAAGTCATAAAAGTGCATGTTTTTGTTTTTATTTTATTTTATACCATCCCTCCTCCCCTCCCTATGTACAGAAGCTTTGTTTCCATTTTCCTTCTATTTTCACGTTTTTACCTATCCCTTCTTTTCTCCCTTCCTCCACCCTTGTTCCCTTTCCCATTTGAATATTTTTTCTTCCCATTTCCCAATATTTGTTGTACACTTCAGTCCTTATTTCCACTTTTGGTTTCTCACACCAGAGAAACAATGCAGTATTTAAACATGTGTGTTTTGGGGGTGTTCTATGTAGAGTATCATGTCATCTGCAAGTAACGATAGTTTTTCTTATTTCCTGTATGTGTTCCTTTTATTCCTTCTCTTGTCTCATTGCTCTGGCTAGTGTTTCCAGAACTATATTGAATAAGAGTGGTGACGATGGACATCCTTGTCTTCTTCCTGATTTTAGGAGGAAAGCTTTCAGTTTTAACCATTTAATGTGATGTTGGCTGTTGGTTTGTCATAATCTGCTTTTATCAGATTGAGATAAAGACCATCTTTTCCTGTTTCCTGTAGGGTTTTTATTATGAGTGAGTGTTGTAAAGGAACATCAAAAATCAAATAAGCATTAACACAATTGTAATGGGGACCTCAATGCCCCACTGCTGCAAATAGATCAACTAGACAAAAAATCAACAAATAGCAGAATATGTACAGTGTTCCATCCTACAACATCAGAATACACATTCTTCTCAGCTGTGCGTGGATGGTCTCCAAAATAGACCACATACTCATAGACCATGCTTCATTAAATGCAAAGGAATTGAAATTATTACATGCATATTAGAATTAATGCAATGAAACTGGAAATCAGTGACAAAAGAAACCACAAAAACTTCACAAACACATGGAAATTAAAACCCTCCTGAATAACCTTTGGGTCACAGATGAAATTAAAGAAGAAAGTAGACACTTCCTACGATTAAATGACAGTTCCAGTACAACATACCAGAACTTACAGATTGCAATGAAAACAGTTCTAGAAGGTAAATTTTTAGTGGTGGACAGTCACAGGAAAACTGAGCAAGCTCAAATAAATAGCGTGTGCTGAACCTCAAACTTCCTGACAAAGAACAAATCAAACCCAAAGCTCATAGAGGAAGGAAATTATTATAAAGATTAGAGCAGAAATTAATGTGATAGAGACTTAAGAAAACAATACAATGAATAGAAGAGTTGGTTCTTTGAAAGATTAAATAAAATTGATAAACCCTTAGCCAACCTTATCAAAAGGTGGAAAGAAAAGACTCAAATCCATGCAGTTAGGAATGAAAAAAGTAAAATCAAAACAGATCCTGTAGAAATTCAGAAGATTATCAATACCTGCTTCAAGACTCTGTATTCTAATAAGATGGAAGAGCCGCGTGTGGTGGTGCATGCCTTTAATCCTAGCACTCAGGAGGCTGAGACAGGAGGATTGCTGTGAGTTCAAGGCCAGCCTGGGCTACATAGTGAGTTCCAGGCCAGTCTCAACTACATAGTGAAACCCTGTCTCAACCACCCCCCCCCAAAAAAAATCTAATAAGATGGAAGCTACAGAAGAAATGGACAGATTTCTAGATACATATGAATTAACTAAACTGAATCAAGAAGATACAAAAATTCTAATTAACCCAGTAATAGTCAGTGAAATGAAGAGGTAATTAAAAATCCACTGACAAAAGCCCAGGTCCTAATGGATTCCCTGCTGAGTTCTATAAGAAATTTAGAGAAGGTCTAATGCCATTACTCCTCAAACTCTTTAATGAAATTGATAGAGAAGCAGTACTCCCAAATTCATTCCTGGAAGCAAGCATTACCCTGATACCAAAACCAGAGAAGGATCCAACCAAAAAAGAACTACTGGACAATCTCCCTAATGAGCACAGCTGCAAAAGTCCTCAATAAGATATTGGCAAACAGAATACATACAGCAAATCATCACGATTATACATGACCAAGTAAGATTTATCCCAGGGATGCAGGGATGGTTCAACACACAAAAATCAATAAATGTAATACACTGTATTAACACTGCCAAGGACAGAAATCACATGATCATCTAGTAGACACAGAAAAAGCATGTGAGCTAGGTTTCTTGCACAGAAGAGTTTTATACTATCTTCCTGGAGCTTAGATAATATGATCAAGCCCTTTTTGAGATTCTCCAAACTACTATTTGTTCCTTCTGTTGATTCAGATGGAAACAAATGATTCCATCTGTGGAACAAATATCATTCTAGTTTTTAGTTATAGATGGAGCCATAAGTCCACTAATTACCAACTTACAGATGACACAGCCAAGGGGGGACTGATTTATGCAACAACCAAACATGGAAAGCAAAGCTTCACCTGCCAGTGGAAACAAATGAGAGAAGAGGTCTGTCAGTCAGTTTGATATTGTTGTTTTTTTGTTTTTGGTACCAGGGATCGAACTTGGGACCTTGCACTTGCAAGATGGTGGTGGAACCACTGAACTAAATCCCTGGTCCTAGTCGGTTTAATATTAACTAGCTGTCAGTTTAGTACTAACCAAGTTGTCATACCTACTAGTAAAGCTGTGAATGAGGACTGTGTATTGCCTGGGGTGCCGGCCCCCAAGTGTATACACACTTATGTGTGTAATTCGGCCAGTGATTTTCTGGAAAGAGGGCTTGTAGCTTTCCTCAGCTTTTCAAGAGATCAGTGACTCACAAAGTCTCAGGAATCTCTGGGCTAAGAAGTCAGAGTCTCGTGTCCTTGCATGCTGAGCAGGTCATATCTGGAGGAGTTTGTGCCTTGTGCAGGAATGGGGAAGATGGAGCCTTCCAGCCTGCCCTGGAAAGAAGAGGTAAAGAGCTGGAGCTCTGTGTGCTGGAGCAAAGAGGTCTAATAATAAAAAGCCAGCTAGGTGAAGATGTTTGTGTACAATTCAGGTATTTTATTTATTTATAGAGAAAGTAAAAACAAAATCCAAACACTACAAAAGGAACAGCAGGTGTGCAGTAGAAAGTCTGTTCCTTTCCCTGGGGGACCTGTCGCCAGTGTCCTCCCAGAGTTCTTCTGTACATGCCCGTATGCGGAGATTCATCCCTTTCTTGTTCAGCTAATGATATAAGATAGGAACCATTTTCCCTTGACTTAACTTTATCCTGCGAAGCATTCTGTCACAAATAAAATTATGTGATCCCCTCTTATAACTGTACAGTGTTCCATTATATGAGCATACCATAATTTATGTAACCAATGCCCTATTGTTAGAAATCTGGTTTATTTCAAGTCTTTGTTCCTATAACAATCTTATGTAATAGAGTATGGTGCGCCAGGTATTTTTAAACTTTGATAGATGTTGACAAATTACCCTTTATAAGAAATTACTGGATAGTCATCTCTGCCTCCTTCCCAATATAGCCCATTTTCATATTCTTGATATTTACCAAATGTATAAGGATAAAAAAAATGTTTTTGAGACAGTGGTCCCATAACACAAATTAACCAT